GGTCGGAAATTTCATACTCACATTTCTGTAAGCACTCTCTGCCTGCGCATATGGCTTTCGTGCACGCATCTGCTGGGTATCAATTTCTTGACCACTTTTCTTTGCTTTTTAGGAGTAGAATTAGCGTAGTTTTCTTAGTTTATCTCGTTTAAACCCACGTAGTTGTATTACTTCAGCATTGTAATTCTGGAACGTTATGTAAGTTGAACCATGGTTTGTATTTGCAAATATCTCAATTATTCATCCTGTTCATCTTTACATTTATATGTCTGGAAATTATTGCTTGTTAATTATTGAAGAATCTTTAGAAACAAGTAATCACTAAATCTTCCTACTACTCCTCTTCTCGTTTTATAAGACTAAAACTCAGAAACATCACATATCTAAATTGAAACGTTTTTCGTGCTAGTCTAAATAAAAAGAGCCCATAACGTAAACAGTTACATAACAATTTTTTTTTAATTTCTATTCATTATTACATAATAAAACACAGACAGATATAAACCGAATGTCATGCGACCAATCCGTTTACAGATTCAAATAAAACTAATATATTCGAATATAAAAAAATTCAAACCATTCGAATAAAACAAACCCTATTCGAATAAAACAGCCTCCTATTTGAATGTCATGCAACCAATTCGAATAAAACATAAATCGCATTGGATTTAAATAGTCTCGTATTCGAATACTGTGCAACCATTACTAAAACACAAATCATTCGAATAACATATGCAACAATTCAAATAATATAAATAATATTTGAATAAAATAAGTAGTCCATCCCATCATATTTGAATGCAACATGAGCTAGACTTCTCAAATGAAAGAGTTTTAATAAAAATAACTTCACTTTCTCTTCACTATTTCTACTTGTTTATGCGAAAAAAATTCATAGACGTAGTCTTATGTATGTAAATTTTTCATGTGACTTATCTCTTTTTAACCAAACATAAAAAATATTTCAGCTTAAACATTTTTCTCCTCTCCTCGTTATTTCACCTATCGAAACAAGCACAATGATATAGTTAATAAGTATAGAATATATATTTTGTGTGAAATTATTTAATGGAATATGAAATTTTAATTGATTTTTATTACGTGTAAATTTTAATTAATACACTATGTTATTTAAAGTTAATTATTTAAATAATTTTAAAGGACAAAAATTTCAGTTCTCTTTAATATTTTTTTGATCCATCCCTTGTTGTCACCCAAATCCCATATCGGTGCAACATATATAAAATTTTATTTTTTTATAAAAAAAAATTCATTTCAGAAAGCTTTTTCAACCTTGCAAAAAAGTCAAAACCAAGTTTTGCTTTTTATTTTTTTTTATTTTTTTATTTTTAACTTTTCTCTATTTCCGAGTGTCCTTGTTCTCGGGGCACTTTGGAACTTGGAAGAAACTTTTTGCTTTTTACTTTCCTTGACTTTGTTATTCGAAGGTTCGAAAAGCTGTTCTAGGAATGAACCCGTGAAAATTAACTTATCTTTTTATTTCATGATTTAATTATCTTCTTAATTTTATAATTTTATTAACTTTTCATTTTTTATAATTAAAAATACTTCACTTCAAATATATATATATATATCTGGCTTAGCCCCTGTGCTTTATAGGCTCGGAGTTGGAAGGCAAGTGTACCGTCTCGGCTGAAGGTCGATCCGACCTCTCGGCATTATGGTCAGCTTACCCCCTGTGCCTTATAGGCTCGGGGCCGGAAGGCAAGTGTATCGTCACGGCTGGAGGCCGAGACGACCTATAGATGGGGACTCGGTATAAGAGGACTCGACCCCCACACAAGGAAACACTCGTTTGATGTCCGATCTGACTATTTTGATCTGACTATTTAAAAGGGGCACTCGGCTATAATCCGATTCGGCCTCTTCATAGCTTTATCTCGGTCAATGTCCGACCATACCCCTTGGAACGTTGTCTCCCACAAATCCTGACTATATTATTCCCATCGGAGCCTGGGCTTACGTCAAGGAATAAATCTTTGTTGAGCTTAGGGGAGCTGAAGACTTTAAGAGTTTTGATGATCACAACAACTTGGAGACAACAAGTGTACAACAACAACATTGAACACAAAAACAAAGTCAAGGAAGAGTCAAGAAAAATACCTTGAAGTATAGCTATGTAATAGAGCTTAGGAAGCAAATTGTTATAAATGAATTGTTATATTTGTGTCTGTGTGTGCTTTGTGCATTGAGCAAATCTTGTCTAGAATCAAGTAGGGAGTAGATGATGATGAGTTAAACATTGGAAAATTATTTTGAGACTTAAAATGAAGTTTTAAGAACTGACTCAAAATAATCGATTATTGTTAAATATAATCGATTATTTCAGCAAGTGGGCTAAGTGGAATGCCTTGCTGTAATAATCGATTATTTGCCAAAATAATCGATTATTTCAGGAACAACTCTCTGGAATAATCGATTATCCAGCTAAATAATCGATTAAATTGTTCTTGATTGATTTCCAGAAATCTGAAGAACAAAATAATCGATTATTCTTTAAAATAATCGATTATCTGGGTTTGAATTTTTATAAATAGTTTGAACTCTTTTGAAACTTCATAACATTGAGTAAAAACTGATAATCAACTGGTAAAAACGTTTTAGAGAGTCTGTGTGACATCTTGGAGAGTTTTCTTTGTGAAATCCAAGAGAAAAACGTTTGTGAAAAGCTTGTGAGGAAATCATCATCATCATCATACTCTTGAAAGAGGAAGACAAAGATTTGTTCAAGAATTCCAGGTGAATTCGTTTCATTTTATTCTTTGTGAATCTTTGTGAAAAATCTTGAGAAGGGTTTCTCAAGTGGTGAAGTTTCTTGTAGTGGGTTCTACAAGGGTTACTTTCTTGGGGTCAAGAAAGTGGTTATCTTTTTGTAGTGAAGTATATGCATGTGTGTGTGCTTGTAAACCTTCTTGCTAAAAGATAGTGGATCAAATCTTAATCAGGTGGTGATTAAGGACTGGATGTAGGTCACATGTGGAGTGGCTGAACCAGTATAAAAGACTTGTGCAATCTTCTTCAACCTTATCTCTTATTTTGTAATTTCTTGGTTGTGCTTTAAAGAAGATAAAACTTGATTAACATGTGTATGTGAATTTTGATGGTTTAAATCTATAATTGGATATTATATTTGAACCTCATTGTCTTGTAATCAAGTTGCACATTGCATTCATATCATTGTAACAAGTCTTTAAGAGTGCTTCATTTGAAAATTCTGTCATAGAAAAGTTTTGATTGAATTTACGATCCAAAAACTCTGATAAATTTTTAAAGGGTCATTGAATCCAATTCACCCCCCCTCTTGGATTGGGCCATTCTTTTCTAACAATCTTAACTTTAATTATCAAATATCTTCCAGATAAAAACGGTTAAGAAAATCCCCACATTCTCGGGACTCATGAGGCCCACGAACAAGAAACTATAAGACCTAAAACCATAGGGTTTGAGACGGCAGGTTACACTTTGAATGCTCTGGCTCTAAGGCTCAACCTAGGAAGAAATCCTAGTCCATCCTTTGGCCGGAACATTTTGGCGCCCACCGTGGGGCTACGATAAAAATTTCCCTACGCCCCAAGTAGCACAGAAGAACTTGCACTTTACTATGGCGAGAGGCGGCACATCGAACAGTGACTCACAACACCCTACCATGGAGGAGATGATGGCATTGATCAATGGTTTGAGAGAGGAGAATGCACGATTTAGGGAAAGGGATGAGGCTATTCAAAGAGAAAACGAGGAAATCAGAAGGCGAGCGGATGAGATGCAGGCTATGATAACGGCCAATACCCGGACGGCGGAGGAAGATGTCATGATGGAAGTCCGTAGGGATTTCCAACCTTTCTCGGAGGCTATAGAGGCCGAGATCATCCCGAGGGATCATCGGGTCCCCCAGGTGGAACCTTTTGACTAGACCCAGGATCCTAGTCAACACTTGACGGATTTTCGAGCACAAATGCTAATTTGTGGAGGGAGCATGGAAATTCGCTGCAAGCTGTTCATGGGCACGCTCAAAAAAGCAGCCCTTGATTGGTTTAGTGGTCTTCCTGACCGATCAATCACTGATTTCGACGTCTTTAGTCGGCTTTTCATGGCGCAGTTTGCAGCCAACAGAAAGAAACCGCCGATCACGTCAGACTTGTTTGATCTCAAACAGCAACACGAGGAGTCGTTGAAAGAATTTTTGCAAAGATTCAACGAGATTGCTTTGAGGATAGCGTCTTTGGATGAAAGGATGGCGGTCATTGCGTTTTAGAAGGGTCTAAGGTTTGGTACTTTCGATATCGCGCTAGAGAGAGCAAATTGCCAAACGATGTCGGAGGTGAGAGCTTTCGCCCTGAGTCACATCAAGACGGAGGAAGGACAAATCAACAAAAGGGTAGCAGAAAGCCGAGAAGCAGGGGGCAGCAATAAGGAGGGCATTAAACATCTCCGACCGCGTTTGGATTGGAGTAAGCGACGTGACCGTTACAATATGAAGGAGGACAATTACTGACAGGTAGATCATGGTGGTCGGGCAAGGGCCGAGTGGACACGAAGCAACGAGGAAGAAAAGTTTACTCCGCTCAATGTCCCTAGGAGGCAGATACTTCATGATGTTAATTGTGCATCCCTCTTTGAGTTTCCAGCAGCGACGGAGCGCCAGTTGGGTCCCTTTAAGACTGACTGGTGTGAGGTTCACAGGACTCATGGGCATACCACTGAAAATTGTTTCGTCCTTGGGAGACAAATTGAGCGCCTGATCAAGGAGGGACGCCTGAAAAAGTTTGTGGCGAGGAAACAGGAGGAAGGCTCGTCGGAAAGGCGACACAGGCATACACTGGACGACGCAAGAAGAGAAAGGCGTAGAGAAAAGACCCCCCTCAAGGACCCTCCAGCAAAGGCGTCGGAAGTCCATCAAAAAGCGATTCACGGGGATTTCAACACCATGGCAGGGGGATTTGCGGGAGGAGGCGTCACCTCAGCTGCTCAAAAAAGGTACACATGCTCTGTTCTGTCCGTGTCGGAATTCTGCCGATCCCCCCAACCCACAATTTCCTTCTCAGATGCCGACTATGAAGGAGTGGCCCCTCATGAGGATGATCCTATTGTCATCTCGACGTAGTAATGGGCTATAATGTGAAGCGCGTTCTGGTTGACCAGGGAAGTTCGGTCGACATCCTTTTTTGGGAAGCCTTTGTGGGAATGAAGATCCCCAACGACCGACTTGTACCCTACGCGGGAACCCTGGTAGGTTTTGTAAGAGATTAGGTTATGGCCAGGGGGTATGCCGATTTAGAAACGACCTTTGGCCAGGGCTCGTAGATGAAAACGGTGACCATTCAGTATTTAGTAGTGAATGCTCAGTCGTCATACAACATACTTATCGGTAGGCCTACGCTGAACAAACTGGGGGCCGTTGTGTCAACGTCGCATCTGAAAGTGAAGTACCCATTGCCAAATGGGGACGTTGGAGTACTCAAAGTGGATTAAGAGGTTGCCCGAAAGTGTTATGAGGACAGTTTGAAGGCACGAAGACGCTTGTATACCACACCAGCTGAAAAACACATCCATTCCATCGAATTAGATCCTAGGATGGGTTAGTTCGATCACCGACCCGCCCCTGCGGAAGATGTCAACGAAGTAGCAGTGACGGAAGGAAGGAATGTGAAGATTGGTACTTCTTTAACCCCAAAAAATGAAGAAAGGTTGGTCAGTGTTTTGAGGGAGAATGTGTCGGTGTTTGCATGGCATTCCCAGGACATGCCTGGCATTGACCCTGATTTCCTGTGCCACAAGCTAGCTATAGACCCTAACGCAAAACCGGTGATCCAAAAGAGGAGGAAGTTTGGAGAGGAGAAACGAAGGGCCATCGCGAAAGAAACGAAAAAGTTGGTGATGGCAGGACATGTCCAAGAAATTCAATACCTGACCTGGTTGGCAAACGTGGTAATGGTGCGTAAGAGTAATGGGAAATGGAGAATGTGTATGGACGTCACTGATCTTAATAGGGCTTGCCCAAAGGACTCGTACTTGCTGCCTAACATAGATTGCTTGGTTGATGGAGCGTCGGGATACGAATTGCTGAGTTTCATGGATGCCTACTCAGGGTACAATAAGATCTGAATGCATTCAGCAGATGAAGACAAGACTGCCTTCATAGCAGATCAAGCCAATTTTTGTTATAGGGTTATGCCTTTTGGTCTAAAGAACATAGGGGCGACTTATCAACGATTGATGGACCTGGTCCTAGTGAATCAACTAGGCAGGAATGTAGAAGCTTATGTGGATGACATGGTGGTGAAATTGACGACCGTTGATCGACATTTTGACGATTTGTAGGAGTTGTTTGACATTATCAGTAAGTATCAACTCAAGTTGAATCCTGAAAAGTGCTCTTTCGGGGTCTAGGCAGGAAAATTCCTCGGTTTCCTACTGTCTCACCGCGGTATCGAAGCAAACCCTGAAAAGTGCTCGGCTATCATCAACATGAGGAGCCCATCTATAGTGAAGGAGGTTCAACAACTAGCGGGAAGAATGGCTTCTCTGTCCCGTTTTCTTTCAAGGGCAGCTGATAAGGCGTTACCGCTTTTTCAATGCCTAAAGAAGAACGATTTTTTCACTTGGACGACCGAGTGTGAAGAATCTTTCACGGAACTCAAGAGGTCACTTTCGTCACTGCCGATTCTGAAAAAAACACGACCGAACATCCCTTTGTTGGTCTACATATTGGCATCCGACCGAGCAGTCAGTGCGGTTCTAGTACAAGAGCAGGAAGCTTCTCAAGTTCCTATTTACTTTGTGAGTAGGGTTTTACAGGGGCCCGAGACGAGGTACCAAAAGATTGAAAAGTTGGCTCTGGCGATACTCATTACCGCAAGGAAGTTGAGGCACTATTTCTAGAGCTATGAGGTGGTAGTCCGAACTGACCATCTGATCCGGCAAGTCTTATAGAAGCCCGACCTGGTAGGAAGAATGATGAAGTGGTCGGTCGAGCTATCAGAGTTCTCCATGAAGTACGAGCCGAGAGGAGCTATCAAGGCTCAAGCTTTAGTTGACTTTGTAACGGAATTGACCTCTCTTGTTGAGGAGGGTAGTGTTAGAGAAATTCAATGGATTCTATCAGTGGACGGTGCCTCGAATCTTGGAGGAAGTGGAACGGGAATTGTCTTGGAAGGTCCGGGGGGCATATTGCTAGAACAATCGTTACGTTTTGAATTCCGGGCAAGCAATAATTAGGCAGAGTACGAGGCACTATTGGCAGGGATGGTCTTGGCAAAGGAGATGGGGGCGACGAGCTTGTCAGCCAGGAGTGACTCTCAGTTGATTACCGGACAAGTGGCTGGAACTTTTCAGGCAAAGGACCCTCAATTGGCCAAATACTTGGAAAAGGTTAAGCTCCTATCAGAAAATTTTCGAGAGTTTACACTTAACCATATACCATGAGAGCAAAATTCGTGGGCCGATCTGCTCTCTAAGCTTGCAAGTACTAAGAAGCTAGGGGCCACTTGGTCGGTTATCCAAGAAACATTGTCCCACCCGAGTATCAATGAGTCACAGGGAAGCGTTCTTTTTACCCAAGAGGAGATTGATTCTTGGATGGGGCCATACATTGCATACCTAACGCGGGGGCAGTTACTGGAAGAAAAGAGGGAAGCATCGCTGATAGAAAGCGAGTCGGGCAGGTTTGTGGTTATTTATGAGAAGTTGTATCGAAGGGGCTTCAGCACTCCCCTTCTGAGATGTTTGACTGCACCCCAAGCGTAGAGAGTGATGGAGGAAATTCATGGCGACATGTGTGGAAGCCATATCGGAGGTCGATCAGTTATGTACAAGGTTACCAGAGCAGGGTACTACTGACCAACCTTAAGAAACGATTATGTAAATTGGGTCCGAAAATGCAATGAATGCCAAAGGCATGCAATTCAACATCACTCGCCGCCTGAAAGACTACATTCACTCATATCTCCTTGGCCTTTCAATAAGTGGGATATCGACATCTTAGGCCCTTTCCCGATGGCGGTACGTCAATTAAAATTCTTGATCGTGGCAGTGGATTACTTTAGAAAGTGGATAGAAGCAAAGCCAGTAGCAATAATCTCGGCAGAAAAAGTAAGAACCTTTTTGTGGAAAAACATCATATGTCGATATGGCATCCCGTAGGTATTGGTGTCGGACAACGGAACGCAATTCACGAGTGAAAGGGTTCAAAATTTTTGTAAAGAGATCGAAATTCGGATGATGTTCACATATGTAGAGCATCCACAATCCAACGGGCAGGCAGAGTCAGCAAATAAGGTGATACTCTCGGGGATTAAGAAGAGGGTTGAGGATTCAGGCTTGTCGTGGGTGGAAGAACTCCCTAAAGTACTATGGTCGTATCACACGACTATCCACTCATCCACCCAAGACACACCCTTCAACTTAGTGTATGGGACAGACGCTATGATACCGGTCGAAATCAAAGAACCATCCATGCGCGCAACCTATTTCTCTGAGGAGGAATCCGACCAAGGAAGACGAGTTGATCTAGACCTGATCGCCGAAACAAGAGAGAGAGCTCGAATAAATCAGGTAGCTAGACAGCGACAAGCGGCATCTAAATACAACTCAAAGGTCGTCCCATGAAGCTTCATCGAAGGAGATCTCGTCTTGAAACGTGCTCAGTTGACTCAAATTAGGAATAAGTTGTCTCCCAAATGGGTCGGCCCTTATCGCATTGATAAGGTAATCAGCAAAGGAGCTTACCGATTGAAAATACTTGATGGTGGGAAGATACCAAGGACCTGGAATGCTACGAACTTACGTTTCTATTACAGCTAATCTTTTCATTTGTATTAGGTGCACTCTTTTCCTAGCTCAGTATTTTATTCCCTATAAAAATGTGAAAGGGTTTTTTGCTGAGAAGGTTTTTAACGAGACACCATTAACTAATAATTTCTCATTTCAATAAACATCATCTCCTATTCGTCATTCATGATTATTAACATGTGTTATTTTAAAGGCACTAAAACTCGTGATTGATCGTTAGAAATCTGACTGGGCGAGTATAAATAACTCAAAGACAAAACTCGTGATTGATCGATAGAAATCTGACTGGGTGAGTATAAATAACTCGAAGACAAAACTCGTGATTGATCGGTAGAAATCCGACTGGGCGAGTATAAATAACTCGAAGAAAAAACTCGTGATTGATCGGTAGAAATTCGACTAGACAAGTATAAATAACTCGAAGACAAAACTCGTGATTGATCGGTATAAATCTGACTGGGCGAGTATAAATAACTCGAAGACCAAACTCGTGATTGATCGGTAGAAATCCGACTAGGCGAGTATAAATAACTCGAAGACAAAACTCGTGATTGATCGGTGAAAATATGACTGGGCGAGTATAAATAACTCGAAGACCAAACTCGTGATTGATCGGTAGAAATACGAATGGCCGAGTATAAGTAACTCGAAGACAAAACTCGTGATTGATCGGTGAAAATCTAACTGGGCGAGTATAAATAACTCGAAGACCAAACTCGTGATTGATCGGTAGAAATCCGACTGGGCGAGTATAAATAACTCGAAGACAAAACTCGTGATTGATCGGTAAAAATCTGACTGGGCGAGTATAAATAACTCGAAGACCAAACTCGTGATTGATCGGTAGAAATACGAATGGCCGAGTATAAGTAACTCGAAGACAAAACTCGTGATTGATCGGTGAAAATCTAACTGGGCGAGTATAAATAACTCGAAGACCAAACTCGTGATTGATCGGTAGAAATCCGACTGGGCGAGTATAAATAACTCGAAGACAAAACTCGTGATTGATCGGTAGAAATCTGACTGGTCGAGTATAAATAACTTGAAGACAAAACTCGTGATTGATCGGTATAAATCTGACTGGGCGAGTATAAATAACTCGAGGACCAAACTCGTAATTGATCGGTAAAAATTTGACTGGGCGAGTATAAATAAAAAAGACGACGCATTTCCATTCAACTCTTAGATTGGTATTTAAACGACTCCCCTTATTCGAAATGGAATGATTAAGTCAGTCACTTTACTCACCCCATGGAGTCGGAGTTTGGCCGACCGTTCTATTTAAAACTAAGTTCTTAACTTTTTATTTTA